TTAATTTAAATTCTAATGCAATGAATAATTGAGCTCCAATAAAGTAATGATATAAAGTATATAAATATAAATTAGTACAAAATGAAAGAGGTGAAAGGTAACGGTTTTACTGCTACATGCAATCATTGGAGTCAAATACGGTATTGCCTTACATACTGCTGCTACATAATTATGTTACTAAAATTACCGATTGGTCTTGATTTATAAAGCGTCATTAATACTTTCGAATAAATGCTTGATGGTTTGTAGAATTTTCTTGGAGCGAATAAGCTAATTGAAGTCAAATCGTTTGCACATAATGATTAACATAAAGGAATTTTAAGCAATGCTTAGTGTCTAGTAAAGAAAAGACTGGTGGGGCAATTAAAATCTGTTTTCCTGTTATTGAGGGAATTTTAGCAGCCTGAATAGCAGCACTTTATTTGAGGCATGCTGTGCACCGGAAGTCTTAAACTGCAAGGAAATACGTTGTTTTAGGAAGTGATTATTCTTTTTTTTTGGCACAAAAATTCCATTTAATCATTTACGGTATGATTGACATAAATTTCCTGACTAAACACTCAGTTTGTACTGGAGAATACTCAGCCTTGTCAACAATACTGATTAAATACCTGATTAATTCGAATAACTGATACATACCATTACGATGGTAAGATTATAAAAATATTAGCGAGTCGTAACGAGTTATTCAGCAGTATAATAAAATGGCCACTCAAATAGAATCCTAAATTAGATAATCTTCTCATTTCTTAATTTGTTTTTGGAATTATTACAAATGTTCTTCAGATAGATAAGGAGAGTGTGATGGATTAAGATTAAACCTCTTTGTATGCAGTTTTAAAAGAAAAGTGATTTATTGCTAATGGGAAATACACAATATTAAGTGTTGTTATTTCCCTACAATTTAACATCAGCTTATTTAGTGTGAATGTATGTATAGGATTAAATTTTGAAGGTTATTGTTAACAATAACAATTTAAAGATTACTCTTGTAATGATTGGTTCATTATTGAATATTAATGGATAATTTTTAAATGGGATGCCCTAACTAAGATTTAGGACCCACACAGGTGATCATTCTCATTAAAACAATTTACTCGTCTCAGTGTGGAATTGAATTTAGTAGGCTTAATGGGGCACTAATCAAGTACTTACTACCAATAATAAGGGTGGGATAAAAAAATATATTTGCATTATTGATTTTAAAATTAAAGAAACTGTATAAACTTGCAAATGTAATAATACTAATACTAATCAGTTTAGATTTGAGTTTGTAATATTGAAGTTTTGTACATGTTTACACATTATAATCCATAGTAGTATTTCATTAGAATGTTGATGGTATGCAGTCATGAAAATGTACGATATTCTCCTAAAGCAGGTACACATTCAACTCTTTTTATAAGTCAGCATATTAATTTGAAATACAATGGTTTGTAGCATGAAACAAAATGGCTGGGTCTAAAATAAGCTAGTATTCGTCTGTAGTGTCCAGTAACTCTCTAAGGTCTTTGTTATTAGCTGCAAGTGAATGTGTGTGGTCGTATATGTTGAGATATGTATAATTACATGACATTGGATCCACGTCTACCGAGAATTGATAATTATAACATACATCTAACATATATTTTTATTAGGGGTTGTTTTTCTTTTGGTGCAGGGTTATAAGCGTAATGAACTGTGCTTGGAGTTCATAACATATAATAAAGAAGGAATATTTGTGCCCGAGAATCCATCATTGTAAAAACAACCTTAGCCTCAGGGATCTCATCGGCAACATGTCAAGTTTCGGTCATAGTTTCATCCATCATTGAGTCCATCCCTAACTGTTTATGTACTGCTAGTACAATGTAAGGTACCTTAAATGCTTTTTCAAAGAAACAAATACTTTGATTGAGTGTTGAACATTACGGTGTCTTTATGCCGCAAGCGAGCAGTTGGACGCGGTAAAGTGTTACAACACTAAGTAAACTAATAGCTGACACAGACCCGCTGTCATTAGTTGCTGTTATTTGCGAAACCATTATTTTTGACACATCCTTGTTTCTAATAGAATTGTTAGTTAATGTCGACAGAAAACAAATTAAAAGAATTTGTTGTTTAAATACCAGTATTTTTTAAACAAATTGTGTTAGAATTCGTACCTTTATATAGATTTTAAACCAATGTGACATTTCAACAAATGTCACCAAAAAAAAAGCCGGAAAGGAAACCGGAATATTTCTTTTATTTGCAGATGTAGGATACCAATTCTTTTTAGAAATTTTATCTATTTAATAACCAAAATTGGCATTGACATAATATGCATCATGGTTGCTATAAAAAATTATTATTGACATTACAGTCATTATCATTGGCTTTATCTAATAAAAAAAAAATTGTTTTTTTGTAAAAGAGAAATAGTAGCAGTGGGTGACTGCTAGGCGTAGGAGCTGCACACTTTGGATACAACTTTGGCAATACAAAGGAAACTTGGTAAAAATGACATGCAACTTTTTGAAGGAATTATAGGGGACATCGGAAGGAAGTGCAAGAAAACAAACTAATGTTATTTTTTTATTTACTTGGCCAGTGTTATTCTGGATACATTATCAACATGATTATCCTCATCATCATGATTAGAATGAAGTAAATCCATGGTGAAGCAAATATTTTTAATTAATTAATTAACCTTCCCCTGAGGCATAGCCCCTGAAAGAAGTTGTCTAGCCTTGTTTATTGTTTACTACATATCTTTAGGAAAATTCAAGTATACTTTATTTGTAACATATCTGCTGTCTTCAAGGCTCCTCGCTGGAGTCCATTGATAGTCCAAACAAATATAATTCTAACATCTGGATCAATTGATGCACTACATGGGCAAGTCAAGCCCAGCGTTTGGCTGACCACATGTGGAACGGATAAGTATGTCTGTGAATGAATGCCTTGTGTATCCCGAATCTTGCACGTTTATTACGCATTGTTCATTTGTGTTGATAAATCCAATGTTTTTGCTTATTGTGTATGAGAATGGTGTATGCCAATTGCATGTCCTGTCTCCTTGGTTAGATAATGTGTTGCATTTTACATTAAATTTTGTTGATGGAAATTGCCATTCTGGTACCAATAACCCATGGTCTATATTTTGTATTGACATCTTAATTCTGTTAAGAATAGGTATTAATAATAATTTTCAGAGGTGAGGAATTATACTGTAGGGAGAAGGGAAAAGGTAAAGGGAATAATTACTTGATAAAATTGTACTAAAATTTCATCCGTCGGTTAAAGCTGGAATCAGAACTGAATTTTGCAGGGAGATTCAGTAGGAGAAAGGTGCATTGAGCAAACATACATTTAGGAAGGAAGAATGTGTATTGTAGATATCTATATTTTATCAAACAGTTGAAAGATCACCTTGAATAATTTCATTCAATTCAAAAAATATACACAGTAATTTTAAGATTAAAGATAGACAATTCACATTGATCCAAGCCATATTATTGTAAATTCGACCAGTGTTGTAATTTATTTATACTGATCCTTATTCAATTGGATGCTCTTTTGCGAGCTTTTATAAAGTTTCTTGCATTTGTTGGTAGGCCTTCATTCTGTTATTTCACATAAATTATAGAAACTGGAAGCAATTGTTAAATGAAAAGGAAGATAAATACTTACCGATATACTTACAGCAGGTTCATCAAACTTATTTTTAAGGCTTATGTGGACTTTGTTACATTTACTCTTATTTCACTTAAGGATTTTATAAATTGGGAGTAGATTTGAATATTATAGTGAGCACTTAATTATCCTAGAAATTTATAGCAAATGTTTTAACTTCAATGAAATCATATAAAATTTCATTATACTAATTCTTTAAACATAAATTTTAAAAAATTCAATTAATTTTCAAGGCTTAATGTTAATTTCTTAATTGACGAAATGAAAATGAAATAAAAATTTAGAAAATCAAAATCATTTAAAAAAAATTAACATTAAAATGCAAGGAAAGAATGTAAAAGAATCATCTATTTTAATTTCCTATTTGATGAAGCTTGTATTATTTATTTAAAAAAAAAAATGAGAAGGTACAGTATAACTGCCAAGTTAGAGATCAAATTAGTTTTTTGGCTTTTCCTTTGATAATTTACTATGTCAATTTCGATTTGTAATGTAGAACAGCTCATTTAAGTGAGTTAGGGAAGGAAAAGTAGAAATATGCTAAGAGGAAGGAAGATATGAATGAAACTAGGCATATTTTGTTGGTTGGAGGTCCCGTGAGTACTCGACCTAGCTAACTCATAGCCAGTGTTGTCAAAAACCAGGCAGAAATGGTCGCTGGAATGGTGTTCTTGTGAAACGGGAAACTACCGTCGATAACCTCCAATATCGTTGGGATTTTAATACATGGTTCATGTTCTACTGTAGGACATTTGTAGGAGGTAAATGTTGTTTAGAAGGTTAGAAATGGCTAGGAAGGAAGAATGATTCAGGTTTTAGGACATTGGAGAGAGCCTATGCCAACTATATTGCCAGGCCTTGTATCATTTCACAGAAACCAGCTATTACACATATTTATGCTAATGTGTGACATACACGTATCTATTAACATGTTGATATGCTATTTCTGAGGTTTTTATCTTGTTCAAGTAAGTATTTACTTGGCATAATCGGGCCAGTTAATGCATTTTTACTCCCATATGGCTCCAGCCTATTTTCAGCTAGTTGAAATTGAGAATCGCCCATTAGCCTTGTGGGTAATTGGTATGTTTTTACTGTAACAATTAATGTTTTTTTCTTTATGGGAATAATTGATTTTTTAAAAATTTATTTATTAAATTAGTATCCAAAGGTCTTGTGTAATATCCTCCTAATTAGCTACTGGATAAATATATGATATTTAATTACTGTTCACTGTCTTTACACTCTTAATCTCGCTTTTGAAATATATTCTAAACATGTTATTAAACATTTTTCTTTCTTTCTCTCCCAATTTTTTGTTTCACTCCTCTTTCATATAATAGTTACGTATTTGTAGCTGCCATTTCTCTGGTGGTGAGAAAAAAGAAGGCGATATCCCTGTTCCGGACCCGCAAGTGGACACGCCGATCTCAATCGATATTAGCTCCTACGTGAGGCCTCGCTCCCCTATGGATAAGAGGAAACCGAAAAGGCCCAGGATGTCTGTTGATCGAATTGCTGAAGGTATGTATCAATTGATATCAATAATTCATCAATTTTAATAATCAACCAATTTCAATTAAATTATAAAAATAATAATTATTAAATATTAATTGTATAGTCAATATCAATAATCAATTAATATTATCAATAATCAATATAATTTATATATTTACTTTCGTATATATATTTACAATAGTCATTAACTAATAATATAATAATTACCAACAATTGATAACTAAAATAATTACAGTAAGTATCAATAATTTGTTTTTTTTGTGGGAGTGAGTGGAGTTGATAGATTTTACGGTATACTTAAATTAAATGATAAGAGTATATTTTAATTAAATCTCAAAGCTGCATTCAACAATAAATATTACCCTTATCTTTCAAGTGATTTCAAAAGGTTATAATGTGTTGTATTATTTTATCATTTCCGATCAGTCCTATGACATCATTGATTTTTTTACTCATAACATCACATCCACACTACTTCTAGTCGACCCCTGTATTGACCCTAAACATAACTTAAACTAAGATTTCTTTTGATTATTACGTTTGGGCCCAATAAAAAGAATGATTAGTTTATCATCCTATCTAGGCTGGAAAAGTGATGAGGGAGGGAGGCTTTAGAAGACTTGTGGGCAGGGATGATAAACTAATCATTTTTTTTTATTGGGCCTTAGTATTATGAGATTGCATTCAGCTGATTTCACATACCATTGTTTACTTGAAAGAAAGTTTACTGGGTGTTGGCCTACACTGGAACACAATCAGCTACTTCCTTCCCTTTGGTCTGTGCCAATTGTTGCTATGTTAATATTCGTTTCAAGTATGTGCTTGGTAAATCAATAAATGTTACAAACTTATTTTGTAGATTGTTGATGTTTTAATTAATTTAATTAAAGAATAACTAAATTATTTATATCCAAAATGAAATTTTAAAATTATTTTAAGTTATTAAATTGTATTTTTATTTTGTGATTTTACCAATCTGTTTAAACAAAACATTTTTTTAATGTAATCATTCTCTCAGAGCTACATTTGAAGCAATTGATTATTAGGAAATGTAGGAACTGCACTGCTATAGGCGCCATTAGGGCCAAAATAGACAAACATTGGCGTACGAACAATACTCTCAAGCAGTAAGGACAATAAAAATTGCCGTAAGGACAATACAAACTGCCGTAAGGACAATACAAATTCTCGTAAGGACAAGACAATCACTCGCCGTACAGACAAGACACAATTCGCCGTAAAGACAAGACAAACACTCGTAAGGACAAGAAAATCACTCGCCGTATGGACAAGACAATTCGCCATACAGACAAGACAATTCGCCGTAAGGACAAGACAATTTATAAAGTTGAGGGCAGCTTATTTTAAGAGGCTACCAGGTTATTTTTAGCACAGAAACATAAAACTTTTCTGACGGCGCGAAACTTATTTATTAAACATGTACAGTCGACAACTCCAATCGAGCATCTCTTTCGCAACTAGACCAGTGGTGGTTTGTCTATTTTGGCCCTAATGGCCACCCATACACTGCGTGTACTCAAATTTGTAGAAAATTTTGCTTATAGGCCTGTCTCAATAAGCCACCATTGTATTACACAATGGTTAGGATACTGCACACCTGTTTTCCCAGTGACACAGGTAACGAGTTGAGTGGCCAAGCAGTTGGTAGAACTTGAATAAGTTCTCAAAATGAAGGGCCAATAGCTCGTGTGCACTTTAAAGAACCCATTGCATTTTTTGGAAGAGTAGGGGTTTACTCCGATGCTATGGTTCATTACAGCCCCTGTCGTCTTGGAATGATTTGAACATGTAGCTACTATAAGTGGCTATTTATGGCCGCTATGTAGTGTCACGGACCACCCCCATACGTAATTCAGCACAATGACGCTGCTAGTTAAGGATTATTTATATCTCACAAGTTTTAGTCCTTAATGTATCCCAACTCAAATATTATATTAGAATAAAACAACCTTTTATAGATTCATTCATGCTCACAGGGGGAGGGGTAGTGTGGGGAAATTCCCCTTGGCCAAGGATAGACCCTCTGTCAGTGACGGGCTGAAATAGTTATTTGCTGTTCCAACCAAAGTTATTATGATCACATTTCCTGATACTGTAATTTAAAAGCACAGTTTTTACCATCTTGCGATCGTATCTTTCCTCCGGGATTTTGGTTCGGGACCATGACTGGGGACCCACGATTCGGACCCTTGTTGGATCCATGTCTGCAAAATTTTTTGAATCCCCAATGAGTTTGCTGATCCACTGCCATATTCACTTCTTTATTGCGACTTTTTTTTAGTGTGCACTTTTGTTAAGTTGTGTATTTCATTGTAATTTTGCATTATTGCTTCAATAATTGATGGTTCTAGCATCTGTCTTTGATAAAAGTACATTTCTCTGAAAGACTCACAAAACATGGTGTACTATTCATGAAGATAAGGTTTCTTTGCCTTTCCCATTTAGTGGTTAACCTTTGTTACCATACCCCACTTAATTTTCTACTTTAATGTAATATGTTAAACTTGTTTACTACTTTCCATGGTGAATATTCAATATCTTATAAGCTAAGATTAAGCTAGGGACCTATTTTAGTTGTGAGCATTGGTGGTTGTTTCTGTAGTCAAGCATACAAATCAGTTTTTTTGCTGTCAAACTCAATATGCTTATTTCAGACATTTCTGATGAAATAAATTGTCTCCTTCCGTGTTTTTTTGTTGGAAATTAGACTTTGGATTTAAGATTATGTAGCGTGACACCCATTAAAGGATATTCCACGACAATCCAAGGGCGTGTATTCAGTGTGGTCCTGAGAGTGAATTAAGCAATGTACCAGGAGATAATTACCCGCTTTTTCCGAAAAGTGTACTACATTTTTTAACGTTTACTTATACCATTTTAATAATAATAATAATATGTAGGTGTCCATATAGTGCTTTACGCAACTAAGTCTTAGAGCGCTTACCCACATTATTACCCCAGTCATTGGAACGATGCCTATGAGGGAAATTCCATAGTTTGGTGCAAGAAATATATAGGCGCATTTTTCACCCGAATCTCCTCAGGTACCCACTTATACTCTTGAGTGGAGAGAAGCAATGCAGATAAAAGTGACTTGCTTAAGGATACAAGCGAAATGCACAGCGCTCAAGGGGTTGAAACCATGACCTCAAGGTTGGGAAACCAAACCGTTCCCGCTGTGACAAACCACTTCCAATATTGACTATGGAACCAATGGGTTAAACGTTGTTCCAAAAGACGTTGCACTATTTTAACCAGCGTTTTAGCCTTCTAACTGAAATGCAAGGAGAGCAGTGAAGGAATTACACTAGAAGATCTCCATGATGGTTGCAGACATGTACAGTGGCTACTAGTATTACCAGTTTAGTCAACTGAGCTTGTATTTCATGAGAGTATTCAAACACTGAACATGACAACACAAAAATCTGAAAGGGTTTAACTGTCTCAACTTAAGGTGTTACACATGCACATAAAAATCACTTGCCTTTGATTTTGTACATACACTTCATGCATTATGCATCCCAGGTACCTTTGCAAAGATATTTTAAGCACGTATTTGACTGAATTTTCCTTGATTTGCTTCAAATGTTTTACTATGATTTTTAGATAGGATTTTAATGTGCTTTTAGCAACAAATTACCTTATTGAAATATTACCTTGCAATACCTGTTGATATATAATATCTACAGTACCTCTCCATCCTGTAATTGTTGTAGCTTGTATTTACATCTAGCTACATGGAGGTTAGAATGTAATGTACACATGAAAATGTGTGTATGGACAAGTTTGTGTCTTTACTATGGTATGCTCTTCCCTTTAGATAATTAGAATGAGTGTACACATGAAAATGAAAAGTGGCTTGTATAGTAAGTGCCAAGTATATGTAAATTAATCTATTAGGGTATGTACGTAAACATTTTAAAATGCAGTGTACAAATAAAAATGATAAACATGCATGAATGAGTGATATGTCTGGGAGTTTGTATCATTTTGCTATGTATCATAACAGCGATTAAAATTTAATGTGCACGTGAAAATGACAACGCAAGTCAACGAGTGACAAGCATGTGTGAACAAGTTTGTATTCGCTAGCCACCAGTGAAGTGATTAGAATGTAATGTACATGTGAAGATGACAAGCACAAGTCAACGAGTGACAACCACGCATGAACAAGTTTGTATCCTCACTACTATATACAGTATACCAGGTAGGTGATTAGCATGTAATGTACATGTGGAAATGACAAGCATATGTGTCAACAAATGGCAATCATCTGCAGGTAATATTATGTCCTTACTTCTACCTTATATACCAGTAAGGCAGTTAGAATGTAATATACACATGAAGTGCCAAGTGTGCATGAGCGAATGAAGGTTAAAGGTTGGCATTTTTACTGCACAAAATAGGAGGGTTTCTATATGCAAAAACAAGTGATAAAATTGGAAAAACTAGGAAAGTAGGAACTCCAAGACAGCACCCAAACTACAGTTTGGGGATGCCCTCGTTGCTAATCAGGGGATTGAGATTGACAGGCAAATGTGAACAAGTTTTTATCCTTTGGTAATGTGAAGTGGGAATGGTTTGGCTTCCTAACCTAGAGAATTTTGCTTGTGTCCTTGAGCAATGCACTTTATCTACATTGCTTCAGTCTACCCAGCTGTATCAATAGGTACCAGGAAATTGCTAGGAGTAACTGCGGTGGGCTAGCGTCCCACCCAGGGCGAGTATCACACTCTTATCTGCCTCACACTACATGAAACTGGGGATTAGCTCCAGTCCCATATGAGCTCCATGGCTTGGTAAGGATTTACTTACGTGCTTATAAAGTGATTACCGGCATATGTAATTTAAACATGAAAATGACAAACGTATCAATGTATGATGAGCTCACATGCACAGGTTTCTAGTAATGTACATTATAAGGTTTCTGCTTAGCCCTACCCATTGGAAATTGTTGCAGAGGTCTCGCAATAGTGTAAATATAC